GAAAGCCTTCTTCTTTTGACTTTCTCCAGATAAACAATTTCTAGAGGATCTTGATTAAACTCGTTGGCCTCTAATTAAAGTAATTATGCTCAGTCTTCTTCTTAGCTTTTTCTATATTACTAATACCATGTTTAAAAGTGACGGGGGAAGGGAGTTAAGGAGAGTGAAATTCACCAAATGTTCACTCTATATTAGTATCCAGCATAGGTCCATTTCACAAATAAACTAAAATTTATCTACACTAATAACAGAGAAACATGAAAATTGACCATCATTCCCTACACTGACCAGCCAATTAGGAGGGAATATGTAAATTAGAAGGACAAAGATGGCGGCTGCCCAGTTGCTCCAGGTGTGGAGTGAGTGGCTGGGTGGGCCAGGACACCTGCTATGAGAGGGAGGACAGTGGGCAAAGGGATCTACAGGAGTGGCACTCCAACCACAACAAAGACAAAATAGCAGACTCTGGCCAGTGTCTGCTGCCTTTGGCCGGAGTCTGTTGCAAAGGCAGCAGACACTGGCCAGAGCAAAGGCCTGGGTCCCCGGTGCATAGCAAAACCGGTGCTGGAAGCCAGGGGAAGGAAAGCCTATTGCACGAATATCTTCATGCAATGGGCCTCTAGTATTTCTAATAAGATGACTCCCTTTTGGCAAATAGTAATCGAATAAATAAATAACTTATCAATGAATATTTTTGTCTTTACTGACACTCTAAAATATATAATACATTTATTGGAGTTAAAAAGTGTTTAGGAATGAAAACAAATTTGCAAAGAAATCTAGGCAGTTCTGTGGTGGGGGTGACAGTGATTTCCTAATAAGTAAACTTATCTTGATTAATTAGACTCCAGATAATTTTCAGAAATCACCATTTAGATTTTTGTACTATTTAAAGAACCAGAAAACATCAGAAAATGCCAGATGTTCTATTTTACTCCTGGTTAAGCTTCATTGAGGAGCATTGCTTAAAAATGAGAAGTCAAGAGTTTCGGGTTTTGCTGGAAATTTATTGAGAGGCCTCGAGCAACTCTCATAACCTTTATGCTATATATTTGCTTCATTTGTAAAGTGGGGCATTAGACTAGGAACAGTGGTTTGTTTTGTTTTTTACAGCTTTTCCTGACTAGAAGCTCCTGCAAGGCAGGCACTATAAAGTTTTTGCTCTTGGATCTGGGTGGCCTGCAGAGTAGCCAGCATGTAACTAACACATGACTAACACTTGATAGCTATGAGTTAAATGAATGAGTGAATGTGCCCCTGTGGAGCCCTGCCTGGGAGTCTACCTTCCCATCAGAGCTTCACCCAGCATAATTCTGCTTGTATCAGCTTTTTCTATTGGGCATAAAGAATATTTCATTATAAAAACCAAAGAATAACTTTACTGTTGAAAGTAAAAAATTTGAAATCCTTAAGCTGAAATCCTTTTAACTCTGATAATTCAATGTTACTATTGTGTGCTATTATTTAAAAAAAAAAAAATGCAGATCACAACACCCTTACTCTCATTTTCCTTTTCTACGCATTACCAAATTCTGTGACAGAACTGTTTACAAATTGCACTTATGGCCAAGAGAGGAATGGTCTGTGCTTTGTAGATGAATCAGAGGTGACTAGGCAGAGAAGGGGATGATGGGATATGACAGGCAGAAGGAACAGCATGTAGGAAGGCAGTCATGAGAGAGTATGGCAGGTTCAGAGAGCGAGAAATATTGTGTGACTGAATGCAGGGTTAGAGCAGGGTAGTAAGTGATGTGGCTGAAGGAAGCTCCCATCATAAAGAGCCTTATGTGCTTGGTGAGGACTTCGGCTTTATCAGGCTGTTGGATATTTAAAGAGAGCAAGGTAAAATGATCATTTTGTGTTATACTCAGTGTTCTGAAGTTGCAGTGTTGAGGTTAGCTTTTTGGAGCCAGAAGGATGTCTGCTAAGATACCTCTTGATCTTAGGTTTAATGGGACTGGTATAATAAAACATTTCAAAAGAGTTTTCTTTTCCCAACCATGTCATTCTCTCTCCTCCTCCCAGGAATTTATTTACGGAATTCTAGAAATGATTCCTTATATGCATGCAGCCATAGCTCTTCCAAAGAGAAAACTTACTGTCTTAATTAAGAATCAGCTTTAATTTATAAGTATCTTGACATGAAGAGGGGATAAATAATCAACACTAGAGACAAAAAAGTCACTTTAACTTAAATATTTTCTACTGAAATGTAATTTTATTTGTGCATAACTATGAGATACCTATGAGGTAACTTACAAGAGATTGGATATGACATTCAAGGCCAAGTGCATTGAATTGGGATTAATGGCCCATGTCTTAGTGTCATCTTGAATGATAATTTTATCACTTAAAACTAAATTTTTACTACTTAAGATATGTAGTAGTGCCTTCACTTATAGAAAAAATAATACTATACTCATATTTGGATGGCAGACACACCATGTAAGGCACATATGATATCTAGGTATGGAGACAGAGCTGGGTGTGGCTCTGGTATATTTTAACACGAAGTTTTAACTTGTCACTTTATGACATCTTGTCACTATATACCACCAATCAAAATGATAAATCAGTGTCATAAATGAAGTAAAACATAAAGGAAAGATCCACTTAAATTAATAAAAATCCTCTTTTGATAAGAAACAGAGAATGTTACTAACATTGGAAGATTTCATTTGCAGCATGAATCCTGAAAGAATTAAAATAACATAAAATGACTATTACCAAAATGAATCTAAGACAATGAAAATTCTGCAGAGTAAATGAAATAGAAGAATGATTCATTTTTCCGTTAAGCTATTCAGTGTAATGTTAATGTGTGTGTACTTTAAAATTACTTCTACTTTTTTGCTTTCCTAGCATTCATTCTATTTTCAACTTGAGAAAAATGTTAACATTAACTAGTGCTTGAAATAACTTTAGGTTCATGCTGAAATATTTTCTTAATTGTACCTAAATCTCATGGAACAGTCAAGATACATAATTTAGAGAGGTACAGAAAAGGAAAAATAGCAAATTGCTTTTGTAGGAAGCTAAAGTGACAATAAATTTTGTAGGAATATTCATTTTCAATAAGGTTAATAAAAGATATCATTTTTTTAGCCCTTGCTATATGCAAGGCTAAACTGGGCTAAGCTTAAGCCCTTCCATTTAATTCCAGTAATGAGTCTATGAAATAAACACTACCAACCCACTACACAGATGCAGTTTAGAGAGATTAAATACCTTAGGTTACAGAGGTGATAAGTGATAGATTTGCATCCACACCTATCCTCTGGAGTCCAATCTTTTATGCTACCTCTAAGTCATAAGTATTGACTTTTAAGCAGCACATGTCCAATGTCACCTGACCATGCCCTGCCATTTTTTTCTCATTGTGTTATAATTGTCTCTTTACAAACCTAACTCCCCCTATTACATGGTTATCTACTCCAAGGTAAATAGAGTGTCATATTTATTCTTCTAGTTCCTGGGACTTAATGCAGTGGTGTACCCCATTGGATGAATAATGCTGTCAGAAGTCACTAAACATTAATATATCAAATAAAATATTATATTATTCTGAAAAGCAACTGATGTGGAAAGGAAGTGCTAATTGCTTTTGAAGCTCCGTTAGGCATTCCTTTCCTTAAAGATGAAATTTCTTCAGAAAGCTAGGTGGGCTGAATTGTGTTACCTATAGGAATTCCAGGAGTATGAAAAAAAAACAAACACACCCCACAGATATACTATATATGTAAAATCATATACACAGTTTTAGGAATAGTTAAGGGAAGGGGTACTGAAAGCATACTTTAATTTGAAGTCTTGACATTTATGATGGGCTTTTCTACACAGGGAAGTAACCAACTTTTATTGATATTGAGCTCCAAATAAAAGGAATAATCAGGGGATTATTTTAACCTTTAGGTGATTTTTAAAGGTTAAATGCAATTAGTATAGGAAAGAAAACTATTTTATAGTAAAACATTGCTCAGGGTAACTTAATGAGGGTGGGTGGGAATCAGCTTCAACTTCAGCTTGAGGGGATTGAAAGCCTAGCAAAGACAACAATTTCTGATTATAAAGAATGGTTTATCAAGAGGATTGAGAGAAGGTTCTAAGCGAGCTTGCACGTGTGTCTTTAAATTGGGTAGTGCTGACTTCTGTAACCACATCTTGCTGGATGATGCCCTGATTAAATATGATGATACTGTCTATTTTAGTCTGGGCCTTTAATTGCCCTGTCTGAAAGCTGTCGGCAATAAAAGCTCCCTGACCCTGGCTTTTCTAAGGGATGCCTAGAGCTTGAATCCTGCTGCTATCCTCAGCAGTCTTTAGGAGTCAAAGGCCAGAATGCAAGGGCCGCCAGCAAGATGATGTGCCCACTCTGCCGGCATTGACATTTGCAATTGCCCAAGCCCTGTGGAAGGCTGGTGGACACACGTTTCACTTCCTGGGCATAAATTCATCTGCAAAATAAAAAAAATGTGAGTGGAAAAACACATATTGAAAGTGGAGTTATAGCAGCCAGTGATACAGCATGCAAAGTCACAAGGGTGCTTTTTTATTGATTTTTGTTTTCTTACAACTGGCTTCTAGAAATCCACCTCTGATATAGAATAAAGTACATTATCCTGAATTTTAAAGTTAGTTGTAAAAAATTCTAAAATGGAGGCTGGACTGAAATGAATGTTAATGCCTTACTTTAGTTGGCCCTTGGGTGAAGTTATATTATGTTCTATTATATTATGGGTTTTTTTCTGACCACCTCCAGACTCTTCTTTCTATGCTTCCCTACGTGGTACTCTATTGAAAGAGTCCGTTGCTCATGAGCCCATTTCACTGGATTATTATTTGGTTCTTGAGAGCAGAGCTGTGTCTTTGAAACTCTTCCTTCGCAGTACCAAGTACAGTGTGTCACAGACTGTCATAGTCAATAAATACTTGTTGGATGATATTTCTGAAATAGCCCCTTTTTCATTTCTTCCCACTTATCCCTCTTTCACTTTCTTCAGGTTCTCTCCATCTGCCCGAAGGACATGAGAGCTGACATCTGTGTCCACCTAAACCGGAAGGTGTTCAACGAGCACCCAGCCTTTCGGTTGGCCAGCGACGGGTGCCTGCGCGCCTTGGCGGTGGAGTTCCAGACAATTCACTGCGCGCCCGGGGACCTCATCTACCACGCCGGGGAGAGCGTGGATGCCCTCTGCTTTGTGGTCTCAGGATCCCTGGAGGTCATCCAGGATGATGAGGTGGTGGCTATTTTAGGTACTGTGAACTTTCTTAATGCAGTCGCAAATGCGTAACGGTTTTTCTTAAGAGAAATTCCCTTTGCTTGCTGACTTTGGAAACTGGGTCACTGATCAAATGATAAATCTTCGTGAAAACTAGAAATTAATGCTGCTTCAACAAGGAACGTTAGTATGGGTCGCAGCCTAATGGGCTGCAGGAGGGCTGAACTCCATTTTCTTTGGCAACAGTAGGATAGTGCCTTTTGGACCTCAGCCTAACGTGGCGGTGCCCCGCTGTTGCTGAGTGTGAAAATGGTTTGTAGAGTGATTGTCAGGTTAGTAACCTAGAATGTTGGCCTCCGAAGAAGAGCAACAGAACCTTTCTAATTCAACCTTTTCCTTTAGAGATGAGCAACGTGCGGCCCCAAAATGTTTGGTGACGGGCCCAGCTAGTCCACGAGTGAGGGCTCGAGTGCAGATCATCTCACTCTAAATCTTTTCACCTCGTCACAGCGGACCTAAGCAGTGAGCTGAAAGTGACGAGGGAATAAATGAATTTGACCCACTATCTTGGAGTAATCACAATGCACGTAGGTTTAGACGTTTAAAGCTGGTTCTGTCCATTCGCAAACCGGGAAAATTATTTGGCTAATAATAAAGTCATTAAAAAATTCAGAGTCCTAGTAATTGGTTGTACTAACAACAATAACAAAAAAAACAAAACAAAACAAAACAAAAAGCAGTGGCAGTACACGGAAATGACAAAACACTTAAAAATTACGTGTTTGGGGACAGTGCACTAAATGTATTGGTAGAACAAATGCTAAGTGATATTTTAGATTTTTTTTTTTTTTTTGCTCCAATATCAGCAGCAAGTTCATGAAGCCTGCATAGCTATAAAAAGAAGCAATAATAAAGTCAGAGGAGAATCATTTCTGGCTTTTTCCTCAAGTAAAATAAGTTAGAATTGCAGGATGTCAACTCCATTTTGATCAAATTTTTCCTGGCTTGTGTCTCATGAAAAATGAGCTCAATTTTAAACTATTGGATTTTTTTTTTAGCTTCCGAGGTCAACCTTCCATAGCTTGAAAGCCACTTATTCTCGTTAATACAAGATTGACTGATGTATTTTAGCAACTGCTAAAGCAAACTCCAGCACAGAAATGAGGAACTGATCTCAAAAAGCCCCATTACCTGGCAGAGACAGAACTGAGCCCTGAGGAACAGCGACCCCTCCCAGGAAAACAGGTCCTGGTAACTGCGTAAGGGTAGGAGGCAGTGGTGCAGAGTGGCAAACGACTGAACACAGTTGTTTGTAAACATTTTTTTTAACTGTTTAGTCAGCACTGTGCATGTCTAATGCTACTGAGTGCTTGCCCTGTTCTGTTTCCTGGAGAACAAAGGAGCCGTATGTAATCCTTCATAGTAAGTGCACATTTCGTCAGAGCGATTCTTTGTGGTGAAATAAAGCACATCCACACTACAGCCATTCTTGTTTGCTAAAAGAAGAGGCTAAGACACAAGCCCCAAAACATCTGTATTTTCTTTTCCTGCACGTTCCCATCAATGGCAGGTGGGGGAACAGACATCCGATATATTATACTGAGGACCGTTGCGATAAATGGCCTCAGCTGTGTGCTCGTGCCATTTGCGCTGCCTATATTCTTCATTGGTAACTTTTTTTTTTCCCCCCCAAAAAGGAGGCATGGAGAAAGCCCCGAGTTCAGTGCTGGGTCTGCTAGGCTGCAATCCTTTGCTCAGTGAGACAGACAGGATGCATTTTCTTTTTATTTTAAAATAAAATGGTTGCTGGTGTTGCCTTGTGACACCGTCAACATGAACACAGGGCCTCTGGGTATTGGGCCAGTCTCATCATCTATCTGTCACATTTTATTTCCTTGAGTGTGTGCTTCTAGTTTATCCTCCTCAAAAGTCTTGGGATTCAGAGACTTTTCATCTCTGGGCTTAATGAGTAAAATTATGTGTACACATCATTGGCAACCTTTCATTTGCTTTTTCATTGCGCCTCTAACAAGGATTAGTTCAGCCAAAAAGCAGTCAGAAGGTTTTTGTTTTAAAAACAATGTTTTGAGCCGGAAGTGATCTTCCCAAGGCAGAAGTAAGCAGGAGAAGCAGGGAGCTGACAGAGGGATTGCATAGATCTGAGACTCAGGAAGACCCTGTCTGCTCTTTCAGTCCGTGATTTGGAGAATCTGTGGAGAGACAGATGTGGAGACGGGCTTCCGGAGCTCCTCCTGTTGTGGAGCCTTCCTCCAGTCTGGGTTTAGAAAAGGGCTCATCTGAGGGAATTGTATGCTCGGATTGTGGACCCCTGGCGACTTTCTGCAGGAGAGGGGGGCGCGATGCTGCAAGACAGAGATGATTGCACTACATGCCTCTGAGAGTGAGTCTGCCGTGAGCCAGATCCACCCTTGTGTTCACACGGTCTGCAGGCTCCACCTTCCAGGCAGCCATAGCTGGTACACACTGCTGCCTGCGCTTCGCTGGAAGGGCTTGGAACCTGCTAGAAGGACCTTCCCTAACTCAGCCAGCTTGCTTCTAGACTTGAGAGCATCACACTGGCTCCATTTCATGATATCTCAGTGTGGTTTCCATTGAGAATGCGTGTTTTGTTTGTATTGATTTCTGAGAGGAAGGGAGAGGGAGAGAGATAAAAACATCAATGATCAGAGAGAATCAATTGATCAGCTCTCTCCTGCACATCCCCTCCTGGGGATGGAGCCTGCAACCTGGGCATGTGCTTTGTGCAGGAATTGAACCATGACCTCCTGGTTCATGGGTTCACACTCAACCACTGAGCAACATTGCATGTTTTCAGACTTTTCTAAATTAAAAAATACTTTATCTTACCATTAAAAGTGAGGGAAGGGGTTTCTTTAATGCTCATGATTGGTTAATGTTTTAAGAAAGAGGAAAATAGTTACTTCTGATATTTTGATGACCATTCCTTTCCAGCTCCTCCTGTTTTTTCTTCTCTTTCTCCTTTCTACTTTCCCCTTCCCCTTCCTCTGTCCTTTGACTCCTTCTCCTAATATTCTGGTTGCTTATTTTTGGAATAATTGCAAATTTAATGAAAAGTTCCAGAAATTATCAGGGTGCAAAGTCTGAGAAATATCTTTAGGTTTTCTACCTTATTAAGTAAGTTGGTTAGGTCTTCTATACACTTACTTTTCTCCTCTTCTTGACTTATCCTTGATTAGGGAGTGGCATACCAAAGTATCTTATTGTTAATGTGCCTTATCTATGTCTCCTTGTACCTCCTGTAGTTTGTGCTTTGTAGTGATTGTTGCAGTTTTATTCAGTACACAGATATTCATAACTTTTTCATTGAAAATTATGGCTTTGAACATTGAATTATGTCCATTTTCATCTTGTCTAGTGATTTCTTTTTGCCTTGTAAGGCTTAAACTGAAATTCATTTGATTGTACTTGGAAAAAGGAGAATTTGTCTAAGTTAGTTTGATAGGAGATATGTTCAGGCCTTGCTCTCCCTAACACTGATATTTTGCTGGTTGCAAGGAAGAGAAGGAAGGTCATTTTAAAATTAATTAAAATCTCTGGATCCAAAAAACAAGCGCAGTTTTATTCTTTTGGATCCTTGCCTCTAAACAGTCTTTTGGTAGGTGCATAATTCTTTAGTGTGTCAAAAGTCCTATGGTGTTTAATGAATGAGTTCTGAAGCATAACTAATTAATGGGAAGATTAAAAGTGTAGTCAAAAAATACCCTTTTTTTTTTTAAACATTGAAGGATGGTTTCAAAATGTTTTTTTAAATAGGGCAAATGAAAATAATTGCAGTTCATGTCTTTTTTCAACTTGAAGTTCTTTTAGTTCCTACACCTCCACTTTTTCTTGACCTTCCCACTTTTTATGAAACACAAAGAATTCTAAATTCAGTTCATGATGCATGCATAATATTTTATATTCTTTCATCTCTTCTTTCTTGTTAGTTCCAACCTTATAATTACCTAATGTGAACAGATTTATGGGTAAGGCTAAAATAGCCGGATTCCTCCTAAGAGACTCAATGAGGTGTATTGTACCTTCTAGAGACTATAAAAATGGCATTTCCCCATTAACAATAGGCCCAGATTCTAAGATATTTGTTTTGCTGCATTCACAGTTTGTCCTTTCTGTGTTTACTGATTATTAGAACCATATGATTGGAATCATTAATCTAAGACAGTCTGTATATAAGTATTTTAATTGTGACTTCAAGAAAACTATGCTTGTTTATGTTCCATTTTGATGGATTAGATGTTGTTATGTGGTTGAGGGGAAGGGAATAGGAGAGGAAGGAAAAGACAGGATGAAATGAACTTAATAATGTGAAAAGTTAATTAGTACCTGTATTAAGATTTCATTTTAATTAGAATCAGTCCATATCTTATAAATATTGGTGCATTATCAAATAAAACTTATAAATGATGGTTCTCAGAATTAAATGTCTGCTTCTTATTTTTATTCCAAAAAGAAGAACATCTGAGATGTGAATGAATAATATTTTGCTATTTTGAGAACCTGTGAAAATGTGACTTTTATTCTGTACCTAAGATTTCTTTCTGTATACTTGCTGTTAGAAGTGCTTCACACTTTAAATCCTTACATGGGCATTTCCCAAGCCCTAGAAAATTATTTTTGCATCCACATTTCTATGTTTTTAGATGCTGAACTATGAACCAAGACAGGTTTGCTTTACATATTCTGATGATGACTAGTTAAGCCAGACATTTTTATAAAAGGCAAACTAGTATTTGGTTTTAAATATGTATGCTTCTCTTTAAACTTTCCTAACATCATTTATCCATGGCTTGAATTGTACATTCTAAAGATCCTCAGCCTACAGATTTCTGAATATAATCAAGTCTTTACAATCTGGTAGTTTAGATTCAACTTCAAACTTAACCTTACCATTCTTCAGAACGAAGTCTGTGCATTCCATCTCCTAGGAATCCTTTTATCCTATCTTTATAACCCTTCCCATGACCACTGCTCCTACGTTTTTGGTTCTGGGCT